CAATGGCTCGAATATTTCTGGGTTGATTCAGTTAGCGAACTTGGCCCCGAAATATTTGACAGTTTTACAGCAATGACTCTTTGCGAGTGAGAAGAAAATATATGTATATATATTTTTTGGAAGACAAATTAAAAGCAAAAGTAAAAATAGTTCAACGGTTATTAAGAGTGTTTTGTGTCTCGGTCTCTATTTCTAACTCTGCTGCTACAGATAACACATCAACAAAATATAAAGCGTTACGACTCTGAGTTCCCCAGTACGTTGGTTTCTTTGATCCTTGCGAAGACAATTTATTCCTGACGGGTGATTTCCTGTTACGGTAGTCAATTCAAATGAGCACGCGTATTAAAGTAAGAAGGTTGTTAGTGAGTTGAATGATTGGTGAAGCAAAACGGCGGGAAATCGTGCGCGTGTTACTACGGCACAAGCGGGGGAATGATAGGATTACTGTGAACTAATACAGCTATTGATTTGTCTAGTGCCAGGAAACTTTGAAATGGTGGTGAGCGCGGGAAAAATTAAACTGTGTACATGCGCAGGGATGAACAAAACAGTAAGCGCGGAAAACATGAAACTGTACTCAGGATAGGGAAAGTTTGCCCACTCGTTTGATTCGGAGAGCGATATGCCCGTGCAAACATTTTACTTTGGGTTTCTCGAACCAGATTTGTTCTGCTTCAATCGTTGACAACTGAGGACGAAGGTTATATCCCAACGGTTAAACAATGGTGGTTAACTGAGTTTTATTTACATTCCAAGGATTACATTTGATTTGTGACATAAAAACTTTTAACCCTGAGGTCAGGCACAGATATGGTCAGATATTAATTGAAAAAAAACTTTATCAGACTATATCTTTATATGACTAAAACCTTATCGACCGACCTAGGGTTCATATGTACTCTAAGTATTAAGAACAAATGGGGTCGGGTTTTTTTCAGAGGCCTTGTCAAATGGCTACCTCCCTGGATGATACAACCAAACCTCTGTCAAAAGAATCAACCGTCCGACAAAGTCTTTTCTATACAATTTGTGAAGCAGTTTTTAAGTTATAGTGTGTTAAAATACATGGTACATATAAAAGAGATTTTAGCGACCACAGAACTTTCAATCCACGTTTGCCGTCAACTGCGAGATGTGGCGTTTATCGTGTACACTCTTATCAGTGTGTATATGACATGAAATCTTGTTCAGATCTTTTTACTGAAGATAGAAAACCGACATCTTCAGTGGTTATGGCGGTGTGACTGTTTTGAAAAATAGAATAGTTGATCCTTCACACCAAAACATCAGTATGTGTACTCTCTATACTGTTCTCTTTCCATTTCCTATGACATTTCCATATGATCAGTTCCTTAATTCTCATGAGCTTAAGGTGGCTCGTACCAGTTTCCTCGCGCGGGGAACAGATCACTCTAGCGTCACGCGCGAGAGAAACGTGCGAAAGAAGCGCGAGATTAAAAGACGAAAATTTAAAACAAAGATGGCGGCGCGAGTATTTTTTTCTACTTATGTGAGAAGTTTACCTAAGAGCTTGTATTTAATGTGTTGAGCGGCCATTGTGAATGCAGGAGATAGAAACTAAGATAACGAAGACGATTTTCGGAGAAATAAAGGTTGCTTCACTTCACATTTAAAAGAAATATTCAACCGATATGAAATCTTGCGACGGCGAAAAAAGAAGAACTCAAGTTAAGGATAATATACCTGAAGTGGAAGAAGACTTTGAAACTTCAAGGAAAATAATATGATATGGCCAGAGGTCATGTGTAGGATTTTTAAGATGAGTTCGGGAGGCTGTCTTTGACGGCTGTTTAATGATTTTCTTAGCAGTAAACGTCTGTAAACCAAAGCTATTGCATGAAAACAAGTCCGGTGACCCCTTTTTTTTTATTGTTCCAATATGATAATAACGTAGAAAGGAATAGTCAGAAAAAAAATTAAAAATTCTACGGAAGGAAATTTGCGATGTGTGAAAACTGCCCTTTTCCTAGATTTTCTGAAATTCCGCTCCGTAGAATTTTTTAAAAATCTTTGTGCCTTTTCCTTTTCAAGTGCCAAAAGCAATCACTGAAAAAAATCAGGGAGTCACCGGGTTAGTTTTCGAATTATTTAAGCCACAAGCTAAAAAATGCGTCTGAGTAAGCCTATGAAAGCGTTGCCAATGGAAACTGCTAGTGACGAAATGACACTTATTTTTGGATAACCAATGATTATGTAATTCAACCCCGTAAAAGTGTCCAACTGGCCTTGGTCAGTCTTTCTGTTGTATTCTTTCAAAGTTACAACCATAAAAAAGATGAAAACCGGTACGAGCCACCTTAATATTTGATTCAGCAGTGATACTTACGGGAGAATTTAGATATTAGTCACCCTCAGAGGTTACAGGGTATTAAGCCTGTTCTATTTCTCGAAATGGTGATGGCGCTACGTTAGTTTTCAACCATGTCACCCTTTCCTGGTTTTGAAGAGTAAGAGGACAACCATTTTGATTGCTCCC